GGCTTGGGGCTACTTAGTAGGAGCTACAAAGTGATCTGAGGTTGATTGCCACCTGTGCTGCACTTGGAGGTGCTTAGGAGTGGCTACACTATGAATTGAGGCTGGTCACCACTAGTGCTAGACTTGGGACTCTTTGGTGGGCACCATGATGCAAGCTGAGGCCAGCTGCCACTTGCATTGGGCTTGGGGCAACTTAGTTGAAGCTGTGTTCCAGGGCAAGACTAGCCACTGCTTATGCCAATCTTGGGGTCACTTGGTGGGAGTTACAGTGCAATTTGAGACCAGTTTTGTTTATGTTGAGCCTGTGTCCACTTAGCAAGGGCTACAAGGCACATCGAGGCAGCCACTGCTTTTTTGTGCTTTGTTGACCTTTGAGAGATTTTTGGAAAGTCCACAGCACAAGTTCAGGTAGGCTACTTGTTTAGAGGAGCCACTGGAAGAGGCTTGGGTCAGAGGAGTGAGGTGTGTGGAGTGGAGACGTGGGGAAACACCAAGGTGGGATGAGTGGTGTTAACCAGGTTAATGGAGAGCACAGATTTGGCTCCTAATAACATTTCCATCCCTGGGTACAGAGTTACCCTGCCCCCTTCCCCTTCAGTCTTCACCCTAAAGTTAGTCAATTCAGCTTTTCCTCATGTGTCCCTGGCACTTTTTGAGCTGCTGCCCTTGTGCTGGAGCTTAGAGCAAATGAGTGAGTTTGTAAACAAGTTAGTCTATGCACTGGCCCTTTAAGAGTAACATGTCTCAGTCTCCCACAGCCCTTTTGTCTTTCACTCATGCAGTCCCCTGCTGGTTTTCACAGCTAAATGTTATAGGGACTCCTCTTTCCAGCACAGGTATCCTGGGCTGCTGGTATAGGGCTGTGACTCCTTGCTTTTCAAAGCAGGGACCTCCCCAGCCCCAGATATCTCTTCTAGTTCTTAATTGCCACATCACTACACTATGGGTGCGGAATGTGCCTGTCCGCCTCTCCAGCTTTCCTACCAGTCTTTACGTGGCTTTTTATATCCTTAGTTTGTTATAGGACTTCTATTCAGCTCTGTTCAACTGGTGTTCAAGTGATTCTCAGTGATGGTTCTACAATTTAGTTGTAAGTTGACATGATTGTAGAAGGAGGTAGGCAGTTGACCTACTCTGCTATCTTGATTGGGAGCCTGATTTTCTGTAGTTTGAATGATAAACTTATATGTCCTTTTTTTAAAAATGTCATTAATCCTGTTTTGTGTTCTTTGAGCTTCCTGGATCTGTGTTTTGATATCTCACATTATAATTTGGGGAAATCATCAGTCATTGTTGCTTCAGATATTTCTTCTGTTTCTTGTTTTTCTGGCATTCTTGTTTTTCTGACATTCTCATTATACATATGTTGTACCTTTTGTTATTGTCCAACAGTTTTTGGATATTCTGTTCCC